TCTGCTGCAGTGTACTAATGCGCCCTCTGGTGGTGAGAAGGAGAAGTGCAGTTCGATATTGATGGAACATACCCCAGTATTTATACCCCCACCATACCAGGAACATACCCCAGTATTTCTACCCCCACCATACCAGGAATATACCCCAGCATTTATACCCCACACCATCCCCGGGAGTGCACGATGAAGGCACAGGCATTGTTACCCTGTAGGAAGCCCTGACTACGCCTAGTGCAGGCCATCACCTAAAGCTCCTTCACTCCTCTTATCCCAAGACTCGAGTCCACCTGGAAATGGTAGCTGATCACGGGAGGAGGGTGCTTCCCGTCATGACGTTAATGTGCCATCAGTACCCACCAGTCATAGAGGAAGAGGGGCGAAGAAACATTTCCAAAATGGATCTAGGATTGTTACCCAGTTGTGGACACTGGCTGTTGCCCGGTGGAGGTTGCACCATAACGCTATAAGGCCGATCGGATAGACAAGAGTCCTTCTCACGTACCTGAGTGGAGGCCGATGGTTGAGGAGACTTTCCTTGCAGCTCGTGTCCCTCAACCCTGAGGATGGGAACAGAGGAGGAGTGACAGCGAGTGCCAAGTAGGAAGTCCAGGACCTGGAACGGAGGCAGGTCAAGCAGAGCTGAGGTCAAACCGGGCGGGCAGCAGGGTACAGAAGCGAGGTCCAATGGAAGCCGAGGGGTCAAAGCCAGCCGAGCAGCGAAGTGCCAAACAGAAAGCAGAAGGAAGTCCAATAAACAGGCCGAGGTCAGGAGGCGGGGCAGCAATCGAGAATGGTCAGAGACAATCCGGGTCAAACACAGGAAGCAAGTCAGAGACAAGGAACACAGGGGACTAGCTGGAGATCATCCAGCAACTAAGGATATGGCAGGTGCGTTTATATAGGCCAATCTACTTCCTGTATGCCTTACATGCGCATGTTTCCATGCGTAAGTCCGCTGCGCACGTTTTCCAGTTACCCGGAAAAAACGGAGCCATGCGCCTGCGCGGAGCTGCTTGCTGCCTTACAGTTCTGTCCATCCTGAGCCCTTATCTGAAACCAGTGCTGGTCCTGATTGGTTGTTAGGGCCGGTGGTTGCATGGTTACGCCTGGAACAGAATGGAAAACTATGGAAGGCCGTCTGTCCTAGCCAGCCGGTCTCCGGTCAGGGCTCAGACTGCACACAAGCTAATAGGAGGAGGCCCGGAAATGACAGAACAGCCCCCCTCCATTAGAGCACAGCTGACTCTTCTACTGGAGATCCCATTTACATAATTTACCTTCAATGGAAACTTCCTATTTTAGGCTGGTTTTGTGTGCCAGCGGGGGATTCGGGTGCCCGATTCCGACATTCGTTTTAATTCCTTATTTTACATCTGAACATAGGTGCTGGGCTTTCCAATAAGAAAGCCCAGCACTAGCTCTGCACTTATTGACTGGCCAGTGGGAGGGTTTCTCGTGCAAAATGGGTGTCGCTTGTCTGACTCATTCTGTGGCGTGTGTAATCTGATCTCCTGTTATTCAGGTCGATTCACAACGCTGGCTATTCACAGCACAGTAGCAGGTCAGCCTGGTGCTCCGTTACCTCCGGTCTTATTATATGCTACACACACATTATAGGTGAGAGCGCTACATGTCCCCTTGGGTAAGAGAAGCCTCCTAAAGTCTGACCATGCCTGGCATCACAAGCCATCTCCTGGCTGCTGTGTGAATATAGTGTTATGTCCTAAAGGTCACTGTACTGCATGCTCAGGAGCTGGGAGGCGGCATGGGTTGTGACTGCAAGGGCATGCAGAGGCTGTAAGACCGCCGGGCTGACTCTCAGCTCCGATTCTCAAGGCTAGAAACCCTTCACGTGGAAGGCCGGAGCACACCTTAAAAGGAAAGCACCCAAACGCAAGAATATCGTACAAAACGGCCTTTATTATCGTTAGCAGTGAAACGTCTGCCCCACCGGAGCGCCACTGTCTAATAATTCGTTAGAGTACAAAAAGTCCCGCTCCCTCTGCGCCGTGAGGTGGCTCCCGCCGGAGTGCGTCTGTTCGTGTTTGGTGAGGTGATACCTGAACGTGAAACACTTCCCGCACTCCGCGCAGGAGAACGGTTTGCTGTGGACCCTCCGGTGGCTGTTGAGCAAAGACTTATTGGCGAAGCATTTCCCGCACACCGAACACGAGAACGGCTTATAGTCGGAGTGGAGCTTCAGGTGCCGGTTGAGGACGGACTTAGAGGTGTAAAATTTCCCGCACTCCGGGCATGAAAAGGGCTTGTAGTCCGGGAGAACCGGCTCATGGTGCCGATACAGCATGACTTGGTCCGTAAAAGACTTCTCGCCTTCGGAACTGGAGTACGGTTTCTCCTTGGCGTGAAGCCTCTCGTGATTCAGAAGGCAGCTCTTCCCCGAAAGACGCTCCCCGCACTCGGTGCAGTCGAGCAGGCCCTCGCCAGAGTGAACCCTCTGGTGCTCGGCGCTTTGGTTAGCTTGGTACAGCTGATCTTTGCTGTGGGTGAGCCGATGCCGGAAGAGGTTGGACTCCACCGTGAAACATCTCCCGCACTCGAAGCAAACGTGCGTCAGCTTGACGATGTCCGTCCTCCTGGGTTGAGGGAGACCTTCGTGCTGCGCCAGGCATCTCCCGCAATCCGGGCACAAAAACGGCACTTTGGGGATAACTGTCTTATGCTGGCCAGGGGGTAGTTTCAGCAAGAACCATTTGGCGCACGCCGAGCAAAAAAAAGGTTCGACGACTCCGTGAGTGTCCGTGTCTGCTGTGTCTACAAGGACCAGGCCGTAGGATGAGGTATTAGGTGATCTGCTCCCTCTGGAAAATCCAGGATGGATGTCTGGAGAAAGATTATACAATCCATCCAGATAAGATTCCTCAGAGTTAGAGGGATCTGGTGATCTATCCATCCTATGAAGTCCTGGATGGACATTCTCAGTAAAGAGGTCTTCTCCCGGAGAACCATCTGCAAGGTCATCGTATTCTGGAGAGGAAGTAAGATGTTCCTCTGAGCTCTTGCTGGTTCTCGGATCGCCTCCTGGGAATAAAGAGATGGATTATTCTCTCTTTCTGGATTTAGTGTTTATTACTCACCTGTGATGACCTCCCGAGGGATTTACTCCTCCTCACACTGTTCCTCATCCATCATCTCATGAGGTTCATCTATAGCTCTGAAGTATAGGAATGTGCTCTTCTGGGACACAAAGGGGCTCCAGGGAGGAAGTATGGCTTATCTCTTACTTTTGTCTCTTCATGTATGGAGAAGAACCTAACCACAGAGGTCTCTTCAGCTCCTCAGTGATAGAAGGATCTAACCCTAGAGGCCACGTCATCTCATCAGTGATAGAAGAACCCAACCCTAAAGGTCACTTGAGCTCCTCCGTGATAGATGAACCTAACCATAGAGGTCTCTTCAGCTGCTTCGTGATAGAAGAACCCAACCCTAAAGGTCACTTGAGCTCCTCCGTGATAGATGAACATAACCATAGAGGTCTCTTCAGCTGCTTCATGATAGAAGAACCTAACCATTGAGGTCACCCTGGAGAGCTGAAGCTCCTTAGTGATAGAAGAATCTATCCTTAGAGGTCACCACTTGGTACCATATCTTACCTGTACTGATCCTTACTCAGGAAGGTATTGTTGTAGTGACTGAGTGAGGAGAATCTAAGACTCTGTTCTGGTTTTGGTGTTTATTCCTCACCTGTACTTTAGCTCCTCAACAACAGAAGAACTTAACCATAGAGGTATCTTCAGCTTCTCCATGATAGAAGAACCTAACCATAGAGGTATCTTCAGCTTCTCCATGATAGAAGAACCTAACCATAGAGGTATCTTCAGCTTCTCCATGATAGAAGAACCTAACCATAGAGGTATCTTCAGCTTCTCCATGATAGAAGAACCCAACCCTAGAGGTCACCTCAGCTCCCCAGTGATTAGAAGGTCCTAACCCTAGAGGTCTCTTCAGCTTCCCCATGATAGAAGAATCTAACCCTAGAGATCACTTCAGCTCCCCTGTGATTAGAAGAATCTAACCTTAGAGGTCTCTTCACCTCAGTGATAGAAGGACCTAACCATAGAGGTCTCTTCAGCTCCTCAGCGATAGAGGAACCTAACCCTAGAGGTCACCACCTGGTACCATATCTTACCTGTACCGATCCTTCTCGGGAAAGTATTGTTGTAGTGACTGAACGAGGAGAATCTGGGACCCTTTTTCACATTTAGTTTTTATTCCTCACCTGTGCTGATATATGAGGGGATGTCCTCCTCCTCGGTATACTGTTCATCACTCCTTAAATACAGCTCTTCTTCATCACTTTCTACTTTGACAACAATCACGTGGTCTCCCTGAAGAATAAAGAAAGAGACATATTAAGTGTTTTCTGACATCATCAGTGAAGTGCCGTCCTATTGTATTTGGCTGCTGTGTCTCCATATCGATCATATTGTGTATGTCTGGGTGAAGACGATCACAGGCCACACTAAGAATTAAGGAGGACGGGCCATCTGCTCGGTCTTGGGTGACCTGATATGTAGCCCTGACCTCACCGATCTTCTAAGGCAATAGGTGAAAGTGGATAATCTCTGACTTCTAGCTATCTAGCAGTATGAAGAGACGGTTCCATCTACCTCATAATCTTTAGGGTCCTTATGAAGTTCCTGTGTGGAATCCCGGGAATACGGAGGACGGGCCTGAGGGATCTCATGATGTTCCTGTGTGGAATCCCGGGAATACAGAGGACGAGGACATCTCTCTGGTGGGTTCCTCTTCCTGGATCCATCTGTAGGAAACACACACACTGACTGAATACATTGTTTCTATGTCTTTATATCAGAGGATGTGTGTATCTAGGGGGATCCTCAATACTCAAGAAGTGAAAGTCTCCTCTTACCCGGTGATGTGAGGGGCGGCCGGGTCTCCATCATGACGTCCTTGTAGAGATCCCGGTGTCCTTCTAGATACTCCCACTCCTCCATGGAGAAATAGACAGAGACATCCTGACACCTTATAGGAACCTGACACACACAATGATACAGTCACCATCCAGACACACCCCTTGTCTGTTCCTGGATCATGTCCCAGAATTCCCGGCACCGCTCACCTCTCCTGTCAGCAGCTCAATGATCTTCTGGGTGACTTCTAGAATCTTCTTGTCATCATTCCTCTCGGGTGTCAGGGAGGGAGGTGGAAGAGCTGTGATGGGGCTTTGGTTCCTGCTCCATTTTCTAGACACAGGGGGATAAATGTCCCTCTCGAGAGACGAAGTCTTCACCAGTGAGTAATTCTAAAGGAAAAATATCACAATCAGATGGAACTTCACTATAATTTTCCCAGAATCCTCCTCACCTCACCCATCAGGTCTGTGTTTGATTAATAGAGATAAGAGTGATGTCATGTGACCTCCCAGAATCCCCCTCACCTCTCCGGTCAGCAGGTAGACGATCTCCAGGGTGAGGTCCAGTATTGCATTAACGTGACTCCTGGTTTTCTCCATCTTCAGTGGGTCGGTCCGAAGAGCTAAAGGCAATCGCAACAATTGACCAATCAAATTGCTCAAATAAGAAGTCACTGAGTGATCAGCACAGCTAAGCCTGATATCTCCGTGTTTGCCTCCGTGTGTTCCTTCCTGTTCCTCAGGGACTCTATTGGTGAGATACCTGAGCTGGGTTCCCGGGTCTGTACACCTGCTGTCATTGACAGGAAACAGGAAGTCCTCTCCTCTCTTTATAATGGGAGGAGCTGAGACTCACAAAAGGTGGGAGGGGACACCCAAAACTCTCAGGTGGTCAGAAAAAGAGGGGGGAACTACGTCCGGGGGATCTCGCTATTGGAGTATCCCTGACCTACAGGAATCCAGGGACTGATTCAGCCCATCGCCCTCCATCTGTAGCTGGACTATGACGTCTCCATGGACTGACCTCACCCAAGAACCTTCCACAGCTCCCCCAGAACCCCGATATGAGGGTCTCATCTCACGAGGGTCCTGAAAGAGACAACGCTCCCTACTTGCATGCTGTACACGTCAAGAGGACCTGTACACACATCAACATGGAGGCCACCGTAGAAGAACGGCTTCAATAGCCGAGTCGCCCACCCAGAAGGGCAGGCGGATCGGGAATCGCGGCTTCTTCCTTCACTTGCCACATGCTTGTTCCGGGACGGCGGCTCGGAAAGCTAGGACAGCCGGGAGGGGCGACATTTCCGGGGACACAGCACAGCTATGTGTGTACTGACACAGGTATTCATAGGGCTGAGACAGCTATAGTATGACACCATGGTGACCCCACTCCTGTAATACTCTCCTTCTGACTCAGAGAAAAGAACAATAACACTGAACAGGAAATCAGAAATGCCATTACCAGCTTATGAACACACATCAGCTGCCAGCAGTCTTCTCTTGTCCGCACCGGAAGTTGCTAATAAAGCTCTGGCTGCAGCCTGAGTCAGCCGACTTCCACCGGGAAGAGCCGTGCGTTCCACGGGCTGGAGCGCAACGCTGCCACCTTGTGGCCGCTATTGGAAACGGCGGCACCTCGTTTCTAATGAGGGAACTGCAATGGTGTGGGACGCCGCCGTCTGGTGGCCGAATAGGGAACTGCATGAGCCTAGTGCAAAGAGATGAAGCCTTCACCCAACTTTGCTTCTTTGCTTATTTTTGGGGTGCAGAGAAATTATTGGAGTGCTCATTGTTTTTTTTTTTTGTCTCAAAGTGTAATAACACAAAAAATAAAAGATTCGATGCATTTTAAGGATGTTGTTCCTGTTTATGTATTTTTCTATTACTTGTTTCCTTGCTCTTTATTTCCACACCAAGCTGGCCATACAGGTCACCATCAGATTGTACAATTTAGGAGGACTGCCTGCGCTCTATATCATATCAGACAGTGCCTTGTACCTACCCTTGCCGTACCCCTGATGAAGTCCTAATGACAAAATGCTCAAGGCGGAGTTTGGTGATGCAATCCAGGGGCGGGGCTGAGACGGGCTCCCTGTGTGGGATTAGCGGTGCCATCTGGGCTAGGGGAATGGCGACCACCTTTGTTGCATATATAGTTATTATCTAGTACAGGATGAGTAATGTAATACCCCATTATGGCCACTGGATGGAGCTGGGTAGCATAATGTAATACCACATTATGGCCACTAGATGGAGCGGAGAAGCATAATATAATACCACATTATGGCCATTAGATGGAGCTGGGTAGCATAATGTAATACCACATTATGGCCATTAGATGGAGCTGGGTAGCATAATGTAATACCATATTATGGCCACTAGATGGAGCTGAGAAGCATAAAGTAATACCATATTATGGCCACTAGATGGAGCTGAGAAGCATAAAGTAATACCACATTATGGCCAGTAGATGGAGCTGGGTAGCATAATGTAATACCACATTATGGCCACTAGATGGAGCTGAGAAGCATAAAGTAATACCACATTATGGCCACTAGATGGAGCGGAGAAGCATAAAGTAATACCACATTATGGCCACTAGATGGAGCTGAGAAGCATAAAGTAATACCATATTATGGCCACTAGATGGAGCTGAGAAGCATAAAGTAATACCACATTATGGCCACTAGATGGAGCGGAGAAGCATAAAGTAATACCACATTATGGCCACTAGATGCAGCGGGGTAGCATAATGTAATACCACATTATGTCCACTAGATGGAGCGGGTAGCATAGGAAAGAAGTACTTCCTGTGCTCCTCAGCTCCGTCTAGTGGTCATGAGACAGTATTACCTTCGACCCGAAAAAGAATATACTGAGAACGTTAAATGTGGCCTCTATCAGCACAGAAAGAACAAATCGTAGAGATTTGGATGGTCAAACGGTTTATGAACAGATCCCTTACCATTGCTTCTGAGGGTCACAGAGTTTAAGGCAGAGAAAGATCGAGGCGCTACAAAACAGCTTGAATATTAAATTATAGGCAGGATGTCATCATGGAGGATTCCTCACAGATAGCCACAGATCAAGCCACAGATCAAGGTGCTACAAAGCAGCTGGAACATTGATAGGCAGGGTGTTGTCATGGGGGATTCCTCACAGATCAAGGTGCTACAAAGCAGCTGGAACATTGATAGGCAGGGTGTTGTCATGGGGGATTCCTCACAGATCAAGGTGCTACAAAGCAGCTGGAACATTGATAGGCAGGGTGTTGTCATGGGGGATTCCTCACAGATCAAGGTGCTACAAAGCAGCTGGAACATTGATAGGCAGGGTGTTGTCATGGGGGATTCCTCTTTGAGATCTAAAAGATCAAGCTACAACAAAACAGCTTGGTGCTTAATTACGCGGAGACATTTTTTTCCCAAGGTGTTGTCATGGAGGATTTCTCATAGAGAACTAAAGATCAAGTTACAACAGCCTGAAGATTATATAGAGGCAGTTACCCAGGGTGTTGTCATGGGGGATCCCTCACAGAGAGACAAACATCAAGTTATTACAAACCAGCTTGAATATTATAGTGAGGCATAGCCCAGGGTGTCGTCATGGAGGATTCCTCACAGAGAGCCAAAGATCGAGGTACAACATAACAACTTGAATATTAATTATAGTGAGATGGTGACCCAAAGTGTTGTCATGGGGGATTCCTCACAGGTAGTCCACCATGACATCTGAGAAGGACCTAGAAGAACTCTAGGGGAACATAGCCTCCACTAGGCAGAAGAACGGGGGAGGTGTGTGGGGGGGGAGGCTTTTTAAACACTCTACTTCCTGTATGATTAGTGAGGAGAACTGGACAGACGGAAGCAATATGAAGATGGAGGTCACTTTAAAATATGTAACAGCAAAATGTAAACACTGGGATGGTTCATTGAAGGGCAGCCAAACTCCGGCCCGCCGACTGTGGTGAAACTACAAACTCCTCCCTCTGGGAGTCATGCCTGTGGCTGTCAGAGTCTTGCAGTGCCTCATGGGACTTGTAGTTCCACAACAGCTGGAGGGTGGAGTTTCCCTACCCCTGGTTTAGAGAAACATTGTTCTGATTGTTTTATATAAATAAATGCTCCACCCGAGAGGAACTGTCCTGTCCTTGCGACCATTCAATCCAGGGTGATAAGCTCCGCCCTCTCTGAACCTGAGGACAGATTCCCGGCAGAGTGCGTCAGTTCATGCTTTGCGAGATGCGACTTGAACGGGAAGCCCTTCCCGCACTCCCCACATGAGAGAACGGTTTGCTGTGGACCTGCCAGTGGCTCTTCAGCAGGAACTCGCCAGAATTTCTCGCATTTTCCTGGGTAGGATGAGGACATTTTCCTGGGTAGGATGAGGACATTTTCCTGGGTAGGATGAGGACATTTTCCTGGGTAGGATGAGGACATTTTCCTGGGTAGGATGAGGACATTTTCCTGGGTAGGATGAGGACATTTTCCTGGGTAGGATGAGGACATTTTCCTGGGTAGGATGAGGACATTTTCCTGGGTAGGATGAGGACATTTTCCTGGGTAGGATGAGGACATTTTCCTGGGTAGGATGAGGACATTTTCCTGGGTAGGATGAGGACATTTTCCTGGGTAGGATGGAGTTCATCCTTCTGTGCAGGATGGAGACAAGAGGACATGCTACTGGGTGGGATGGAGACAAGAGGACATGCTACTGGGTGGGATGGAGACAAGAGGACATGCTACTGGGTGGGATGGAGACAAGAGGACATGCTACTGGGTGGGATAAAAGACTAAGACAATTATCCTGGGTAGGATGGAGTTCATCCTTCTGTGCAGGATGAAGATTGAGGACATCCTCGTGGATTTCCTCTCTTTGGAATGGCAAAAGAGATGAGAGAAGACATCCTCGTGGATTTCAGAAGGAAAACGAATGTCTCTGTAACTGTTTAAAAATAGGGATGTCCCGATAGCACTTTTTTAAAGGGTCATGTGACATTTTTTCTAAAACAATACAGACTAATGATTTTAGGGCAGTTTCTCACCAGGCTGCGTCCGGATCCCACCAGGGCTGCGTCCGGATCCCACCAGGGCTGCGTCCACATTCACTGTGTGGGGCTGCTTAGAGCAGTTCCTGCACCAGGAGTCAGCAGACGTGGGACCTGGCAGGCAGCATCAAAGACAGCTACTACCAGGTCCCCTGAAGCGCGGGACCTGAGGTGGCCGATCCGACGTAAAAATTTAAAGGGCCAGTATCAGGGCATTTTCACAAGTACGCGGGAAAATGCACTGCATCGGTATCGGGACATCCCTACTTATAAAATGTTATCTGGAGTCCGGCTTTCATTTTTTTAGTCTAGTCCATCTAACACTACCCTCTCCAGAGGGCCACAATGCTGCTGTCCAAGGGCAGCTACGTTCCCCCTCCATAGATACAGTGGGAGAAGTGAGCGTAGCCACCTTAAGACAACGCGTGAAAAGGAAAAAAGAGAAACATTTAAAAAGGATGGGAACTACAAGTCTCACGAGGCCCTGTAAGACTGACAGCCACGACTGCCATAGGCAGATGCATGACAGTATGTGTAGCTTCCCCCCAGCTGGGAGGGGCCGGAGTCGCCCCGCCCCCGCCTTACACGGAAGAAAATCTTCACTCTGAGCTCAGTTACGGCTTAAAGGTTACACAGGACAAGCATTTCGCCGAAACAGTTTTTTTACGTAAAATTAGTTTTATTGCAAAATCAAGACCTCTGCTTTTAAATTCATTACTGTTGACTTCACCGTACGTGGCAGTAGATAACAGTTTCCTCAAAATTAAAAACTAAGAGAAATAAAATATTTAAAAAAATCAAAAAACTAATAAAAGTTTTACTGAAAACACTGTCTAGATTACAACTTCAATGCCTACTCGGAAAAGGCCTAGTAACAGTATGAAATGAAGATGGACTTTCCAGTGCCCATGCCTGCCCTCGTGGGTGGTTCC